TTTGTACCGTCGTATATCCCGTACTTTTTATTAATTTATGGTAGATTTTTTACACCGATGAGTGGTTACAAGTACAACTCAGTCACTTTGGGCAATCTGTGAAAATTCGATTTGATGCATTCAATAGCAACCGATGTACAAAAAAAATATATATATATAGGTTATTATTTAACCTTATTAACCTTAACTTTATTTAGGTACTTATTTCTTCTATAACATAATTATAATCTCCAACCAAAGGCCAACCGGCAACCATTTATAATTGAATTAAAATTTTCAATTTTACCCGAGTATCTCCAGTTCCTCGTTTGAGAATCTCTTTAAAATKCAAGTTTCTATAATATTTTTTATTTTTAAAACGTTCCTGCATTAAAGTGAACATAAAAAAAATCAGCCAAATTGGTAAAACCGTTATTTTGAGGTTCATTCAGACTAACGTAAAGCATTTCATTTCATTAATATAGATTATTTATTAATTTATTATTATTAGTGACTATCATTGCATTGAATATTGGTGTAATAAAATTATTTTTTCAAATTTTAAAACACGAATGACCGGTGATTGAAACGATTAATGGATATTATGTATTAAACTATTAAYTAAAACTTGTACTAATGAAAAAAATTGTGGCTTAGCATGGCGCGTTGGCTGCTACCAATCGCGGAATGCGACTGGGAGTAAGTAACGGCCACAGCTACTATACCTCCCGGATGGGTGACCACCGGGGTTCATAGTAGTTAAAAACCTTGCCACACATACACGTGTTTGCTACTAACTAACCGCAACAACTGTAAAAACAACCTACTATACCAAAACCTTACCGCTACCACAGTTCATAACTCTGTTACAAGTCGGTTGACCTTAGCCTCGTACTTGTAGATTTTCAATGAAGATTAATTAAATACTACTAATTTTTGAATACGCGTTATTCTTATTTCACATGCTTTTGGAATCAAATCTTTATCCTGACTACTAAATAATTTTGTTTCACAATTATCCGTTTCTTGAATATAGTGCGTGCCTGAGTGTTCAAACAAATATAATACTCTTGCATATGTATACATTTGCTCAACTCTATGTCATCTATGTCTATTGAATACACGTTATCCTCGGATACGGCTAAGTATTTGTTTGTTAGCTGAATTGACGCATATA